TGAGCACAGCAGAGGGGCTGGCCCACATGCCTGGCCCTGGGACGGCCACAGCCCAGACACGCACCTGACCGCATCCTGTGCTCAGGCCAGTGGTGCCTGGCCGCTGGCTTGGGCTCCTCCCTCCGCAGCCGGTGCTCTCCCTCACGCTCCCGGTCCCTCTCCCGGTCTTTGCCTCGGCTCTGGTGCTTCTCTGTGTCATGCTCTCGGGCCTTGTCCCTCAGCTTCTCTCTGTCCAGGTCCCGGGCGTCCCTTTTCCTCTCCCGTGGCTTCTCCTTGTCTCTGTCCCCATGAGGATGCTCCCTGGAGCCATGGCGGTCTCTGTCTGCCACCCTCTCCCTGCGCTTGGCTTCCCGGTCTGGGTCCCTGGGCTTCTGCTCCTTGGACTCTGGGGCGTCCGTCTCCAAGTCCTTACGTGGCTTCCTTTCCTTGCGTTTCTTATCTTCTCTAGGAAGTGTCGACTGTGCAGCCAAAGCAAGAAAAGGAAAGGGGTTTCTGAGCGTGACAGCCTCCAAAGCACCCGCTGCCACCGTGTCCTGCTCTCCCGCCAGCAGGAAGGGCAGGAGAAGCCCCACAGCCACAGAGGTGTCACACTTAGCATTTCTATGACTGCAGACCAGCGCCCACTTGGGAGACACATTCCCATGTGTTGTCAAGTCAAATCTAAAACACTACCCAGATTAGAAAGAAAGAAACAGGATACTGAAGGGGGGAAAAAAAAGAAATAGCAGAATAAATATGCAAATCAATGACTAAATAGCACACAGGAATGGCTTGTGGAAGCCCTGAGGTGAGCCTTGAGAACTCACAGCTTCTTTCAGTTTAGATTTTCATAAAGAAAAAAATATAGAGAGAACAAGGTACTGAAGCTGTGTCGGTCTCTGAGACTAGGCCCATCCAGGTCCTATTCAAGAACAAGGACCTTCCTTGTAAAACTCTCAGGGGATCTCTCTCAATCCCCAAGCCTCTCTCCACGTATGTACACACACACACACACACACACAGAGACACGCACAATGCACACACCACACATGTACACACACAGCCTAGGCTCTGAACCATGAAAGAAGCCAGAGTTGGTGCCATGCAGGCTGGGCTAGGAAACCCTTTCCCACCACAGACCCAGAGCTACTAACCACATGAGTCGAGAACACCCTGAAATGAGCCACGTGGGAGCAAAGTTGTGTAGGGCTGAGAACCAGGAGAAACTGTCCAATCAGACCCCAGCTCAAATCTTTGAAATACATTTACCCAAAGGTGTTTTCGGAGGTCATCTGCTGTCCATGTTTCATCTTTGGTTCTTCTCTAAAAAGAAAAGTATAAAGTTGGAATTTTCCAAGTTTAAAATAATCATGTGGCAAGCTCTAGTAAGCTGCTTTTCATATGGCCATTCTAGTCAATGGCAATTAGTCCTGAATACGCAAGAATTTACTGTATATCGACCAGAATAAATGGTAACAGATATACAGATTTTTAAAAATTATTCACTAGTCTAAAATTACCTATAAATTATTACAGAATGTGTTTCTTTGGCTACTTCACAATATAAATGTCCATACTGACTCAAGGGTCCGCCTACGCATAGGCAACACAGTCCTGCCTTTTCCAGGTCCCTCTGTGGCCTATCAGGGCAGTCCCAACACTCAGAAAGCTTACTTTAGGAAGGCTGGTGCTGCATTCATAAATATGAAGGGCCAGTCAGGCATTTAAGAAAAACCAACATCAGAAAGAGAAGCATCACGCTGGCCGGGTGGCTCGGTTGGTGAGACTATTGTCCTGTACCCCAACAGGCTTCGGGTTCGATTCCCCATCAGGGCACATACCAAGGCTGCGCGTTTCCTCCCTGGCCCTGGCGCGGCAACCTATCGATGTTTTTCATTGATGTTCTCTCTCTCTCTCCCTTCCTCTCTCTAAATTCAATAAAAGCATATCCTTATTGGGGATTTTAAAAAGAGGGAGAAAAGAATCAAGACAAATAGAGAAAATGAACATTAGTATTTATTTTATTTTTGTAAAGGCATAAGAGTTATATCCTCTGGAAGATATTAAAAATCTTTTAAGCACAAATTAAAACATGCTACAAAAGAAGCAATATGAGAACAAGAATTCTTAATATTAAATGTAACAAACTAAAACATTTAAGTAAATAAAGCTAACGATAAAGCTGGAGAAATCCCCCTAATATATCTATATTTTTAAAAAGGCAAAGAGATGGGAAATACAAGCCGCCAGCCCAACACTTAACGAGAGGCTGAATCAGAGTTCTAGAGAGAAAGGGTGGAGGGGGAAAAAAAGGGAGGGCGGGGGGGAGAGATCCCCGAAGTGAAGGTAAACGAGAGCTTTCCTTTTGAAAGTGATCATGAAATGTCAACAACAATGACATTCGCGGCCCAATCACACGTAGGTCTGCAGTGAATCCTGCGCATGTAATCATATAACATGACTGGTTTTCAGATTTAAAAATCAACCTACTAACAAACCACAGGAACCCTACGCTACAGGATAACTTAAGAAAACGAGAGGGGAAAGGACAGAAGACGGGGGTCGGGGAGTCTGCGCACGTTAAGCGCTGGGTAAAAGGAGGCGGTAAAACGCACACGGACCCCGGCCCGTCCGAGTCCCCGAGGCTAAGCGGTCACGGGAGTCCGGCCCGAGCCCAGGGCCGCCGGGTGCCTGGACACTGGGGAGACTGGGCCAACTAACCATGGTCCGCGAACTCCCCAGCGCCCGTGCGCACCCACCTTCCCCGGCTCCATCGCCGCTCGCAGGGGCTTCGCCGACTCCTAGCAACCAGCGGC